AGTAGGGCAGTTGGTGTTTTCCCAGCTAATCCCGTCTGCTCTCTGCCTGGATCAAAACGATCCAGGGTTATCACCACACCTTCCTCGTCTAAGAAAAGAAAATATTAGTTAGTAAAATGCAGATGCAACATGTTTAAATACTAAACAATCATTATAGGATATCCAAATACAGGCCTTCTCAATACTAACCACCGTCCACTGCCAGTGTCCCGAGCAGGAAACAGAAAAAGCCAGGCTTGTTGGTCCGTCTAGCATGCCGGTGAGCTAAACGTAATGCTTTTTCTACAAGTAACAGTCTCGGACTCCTGAAATACACCAAATGTTACTGAGGACATTCAGCCATAAAATGAAAAAGTTTTTTTTAATTGTCAGATCAGATGTCATTATTAACTTAAACGAATGTATTTTTTAAATAACTAAAGTCAAATAAAATATTACATGAAAAGTGTAAACTTACTAAAATTACTAAGATTTTTTTTTTTTATTTAAATGTTGCCTCCACAACTAAATGAAATAAAATTCCAAGTTGAAGTACTAAAATGACTTCAAAGACTAAAACTGATAAGGTCAAATTAAATTACAGCTAATAAGAATAAAAAATAATTAAAAACCAAATATAACACACGTTTAAGTTGCTAAAACTACAACTGAAAAAATAAATAGGCCGAATTCAAGCTAAATAGAAATATAAACATTAAAAATAAACATGACAAATGCACATAATTACTAAAACTAAAATGAAAACATAAAAATTATTAATGGTAAATTAATAATACTATAATCAGGTAGGTTGCCAGCCTTTAAAAGTTTTTTTCCCTCCGTTAATAGTGACATACAATTTTATGAAAAATATGGTTCATCCATAAATATAGGCCTAAATGACAAAAAGACTCGGCACCCGCCTACTTCCACTCACTACTACGAATCTACATCCCCTCCAGAAGTCTGAGATCCGCTAGTGAGCGACCATCACAGAGAACCTCAAAATCACTTTCCAGAACATTCACGTTCACCGTTCCTGGCTGGTGGAACGATCTTCCCACCCCTATCCGGAACGCTGAATCCCTGACAATTTTCAAGCGACAGCTGAAAACTCATCTCTTTCGAAGCTACTTGACTTCATCATCATAGAATTTCTTATTTATTTTTTAATCTCTTTATTTATTCCTTCTCTTTCTAGCTTGTACTTATTTGAACAATGTCTAAAAACTTGCCATTACAAGCACTTCCTGTGTCGGTTTGCCTCTTTAAGAAAAATCGCTTTATGTATCCCCCAATTGTAAGTCGCTTTGGATAAAAGCGTCTGCTAAATGACTAAATGTAAATGTAAAAAGATTTACCTGTAATATGAGAAATGCAGACTGACAACATCACCACTGGGAGTTGGATCCCACAGAGAGACTTTAGGTTTTGGGAATGTCAGTGGTGTAAGGACATTGTCCGATGACCTTAAAAACGTGAAAAAATATTACTTTCATTGAACAGCAACAACAAGAAAGTTTTAAAAGAGATGTACAGTACAGTTTTACAATCATGTACAGTAGTTACCTGAGGTTTTGAAGGGTTTCTGCTCTAACACTGTTCTCCAAGATGTGGGCTGGCATCCCTTTAAAATCCACTTGTACACGATTCATCCTGTGGAAGTAATATTTTATTTATAAACTAAAGCTGAAATGAATCTGCTCTGGCGCCGAATAACGCATTTTCAAAACATCTCAGACACGATGTTTTGGAAAGTTTGGCAACTAACATGCTAACATGGCAATACAACTAAAACACTTAAAAACCTTTAACATACAGTTCAGAGCTTCTTATAACTGATGTAGGATGTATAATATCGTACCTTTAGGCTGTTTGAACGCTCCACTCATGCCTTCGTCGTGTTTTTAATCGAAACACTGCAGGTCCAGCTGCGCGTGAGCGTGAATACGGACCACAGATGTGTTAAAGCCGTCCTTCCAGCCCTTCGAGCGGCATTAACCGCGCCAAGCCGCGTGTAACGACCCGTGAGTTAATAATTGAACTCGTCTAGAGTGCCAGAAAACGGAGAAATACCAGTTGTTGTCAATAAACAATGAAATCCAAGGCGAACGCGTTCTTTTTCTTCTTCTTCTGTGTTTAATGGCGGTCGGCAAACCAGCTTAAGGTGCATTTCTGCCACCTACTGGGATGGAGTATGAGGCCTCGATACATTCTTCTAATCAAATCTGTATCTCTCAAATATTTGAGAAGAAAACTATAAACCCTTAACTGTCTCTGTGCATCCTGAAATATATTCTTAACTGAAATGTCATTGATTTCCATATCTCTCCGTTTTTCAACAAGCTGCTTTCTTTGTCTATTATATGCCTCACATGTTCAACTGTTTCTGTTATTATTGCAGCAATCTGACTCACTTTTTCTTATTATATGCAATGAATAATTCTGGTTATAACAGTATCTTATCTTCTGTTTCGTTTCTTTCAATCGACGAACGCATTCAGCAAACGCAACAACTCAAAAATAAATTGTGGCGCTGTAGCGGCTCAGCCAATAGGAAGCCACTTGCGAGGACGCTCGACCAATCAGAAGCGAGGAACCGGCCCCGCTGGCTCGCGGAGTGTTTTTGAATGGCTAGAATAGATGCACATACATAAGTTTTTCAGCCTGGTTCTCATAAAAGAACCTGGAGATTTGGTTTGGTCCTCACACTGCACATAGTTTAACCCATTAAATACAACTATAAAAAAAAATTATTCATCGTAGTGATAATATTGTTGCACTTTATTCATTTAGTTGTTGTTTTTTAAATAAAATAATAAACTAAATAATAAAGTGTGATACTACTATTATATTTTAGAATAAAAAGGGATTGTTAAATACAAATACAACTATTTTATAGTAAACTTAAAAATAAAATGCTAATATTTGCTTCTTTTTTTAAAGATGAATTTTCATCATTTTCAAACGTAAAATCAGCAGGCTTTTATTTTGGCGGGTTGCCGGCAAGTAGGTATATGCGCTTCCGGGTTTAGCGCTGAGTGCCGACTGAAGAGCATCAGAGAATGAAATGTCACAGTTTTGCATTGTGCTTTGAAAAAAGCAGCGGGTAGCCTAGATTTATTTATCTATTCAGTTTGAATAGAAATCTTATACAGTATTACAGTTTGTCGATCTAAAATGGGCGCATTAACAGCTGCCAACCACGTCGGTACGCAAATGCGCTGTCAGAACTTATTTACACAGCGCATTTTTTATTTTGGTCGCGCATGCGCACCTGCGTATCACATATGTGCGCCCCTGAGAATATAGCTTGGATTCAGTTTTTTGAGACTGTTTCTCATTGCAAACAGTAGAATGTCAATAGTATGTTTGTGAACAGCTTTGAATACCTTTAATAAAATGTTATTCTGATTTCATGGATTATCATGAACAGATAATATTAAAATATATAATAAATACTCTGCACACAAAATTGCTAATTTGCTGCATGAAGAATGAAGTAATTTGCTGATATTTTGAAGATTTTGCTGATACTTACTGTTCTGAACTGCTCTAAGTTTCGTTGGAAAGGGAAGATCAATGTATTCAGTTTAATTCTAGATTTTTGTTTTAACTATAGGCCAAAATCTAAACTATTAGTCTAGTGACAGGTGGTAAAAAGCTTCCCAGGTTACTACGCACTCATAATTATTTGATACTTTTTTTTAAACAAATGTACGTTTTTGTTTTTTTTAAGTTTCTCCCAATTTTGTTCTATTTAAAACATAATTTCAATCTTTAAATCCACTTAAAAATGAGGAGTGCTGTGAAACTCTCTAAATGACCTGCACTATTATTGATTAGTTGATTATAATTAAGTTATAATTTGCTTTTATATATTATTTGTTGTTTGTGAGTTGTTATTATTATTAATACTATTACATACGGCCTTATAAATCGTCATGGAATAGGTTGTATATTAAATAGTGCACAACACATTAAAATAAATACAAAAATAATTACATACACTGTTAAAAATAAAGGTGCTTCACGATGCCATAGAAGAACCTTTTTGTCTAAATGGTTCCATAAAGAACCTTTAACATCTGAAGAACCTTTCTGTTTCACAAAAGGTTCTTTGTGGCGAAAGAAGGTTCTTCAGATTACAAAAAGGTAAGAAAGAGATGGTTCTTTAAAGAACCTTTGACTGAATGCTTCTTTGTGGAACCAAAAATGGTTCTTCTATGCCATCGCTGTGAAGAACCTTTTAAACACCTTTATTTTTAAGAGTGTTCATCATTATATTACATGATCAATATTATTTCACTATAGTAGTATTTCATTATATATGAACTGTTATATTTTTAGTTTTCAATTGAATTCCAGTTAGTTCAAATTATTTTGTTATGTGATTTTGTTCTTATTTGTTTTTTTAGATATGCATATTTAACGTTGATGTGTTTTTTATTTCGAATTTAATCGTAGTACTCCAGCTTAAACGTATTTTATTTGAGTTAGTTTCCAAGAAAACATGTTCTTTCTTTATTGTTTTTTCATAACTTAGGAGATGACTGGCTTTTATATATTATTTATTATATGTAAGATGATGATGGTGATAATAATAATAGTAAAGTCAAGTCGAGTCACCATTATTCATATAGGACATAGGATTTTTACAATGCAAATTGTGTCAAAGCAGCTTTACAGTATTAACGGGGAAATAATGCATGGTCCTCTGGTCAGACAAATCCAGCAGTTTAAATCTAGGCTGCAGCATAGCCAGATAATTATAACAACAACAACTATTATTATTAGTAGTATTAGTATTAGTATTATTAATGATAATTAGTGTAATGATTAATTATTAACAACAACAACAACAACAACAATAATAGACGAATATATTGTATTATTAAATAATATATCATCCCACTCATCATCATCAGTTATTGTAAGTATTATGATTATTATGATGATGATGTCGTGTCTGTGTGAATGGATGAAGGCTCCGCTCCCTCAGCCCCCCCTCATTCCTTCCCCCGCCGTTTCCGCAGCAACAGGGAAAAATGGCAGCCCTCGCGACCCTCACCCAGGTAATAGCAGCTAGAAGCACACATTTTAAGGGAATAAAGAGGAGAAACAGCGGAATGTAGAAATGAATCTAAGAATTACACACGTATCGATCCCGTTACTTGCGCTACCGGGTCGTTTTATCGACATTTAAATCCAAAATGTCCCGGGCCTCGTTAATCGGGCTCAGATTGCTAACCGATTAGCTCGCTTTATATCGCATGCCTGTCTTAAAACACGAGAAACACAATGTAGGTTTCAATGAACATTCAGTAGCAAGAACATATAGCGATAAGGACCGTTTATATGAATGAAAAATAGAGTAAACCGAGTTTAGCTAATGTAACTAGCTAGCCGCGGTGGATCAGAACATCACAAGCACTGTAAACTAACTGTCAGGGCGCTTTACATATAAAGCCATCATTTCCGATTATTTTCATAGTACAATAATAAAAGTTGCTCAATTGTAATGAACAACATTATAGTATAGATATGAGCTCTCATGCGGTATATGATAGCGGGTGCTGAACCGCTAGTTTAGCTCAGCGGTGATGGGAATTAGTGAGCATCAGTAATCACTCGCTGTACTGCCTTATGAACTCGAATGGATTGAGTTGTATATTAAATACAGGTATGTGTACAACACATTAGAATAAATAAAAAAACCGAATTACATCAATTATTATTATTACTATTTATATGTCATTTATTCATTTATATTGCTTTTATCAGTGATCTTGTAGTATTACATTTAGTATTGTGCATTATATAATAGTTATTAATATTTTGAATCGTCTTTTAATATCATATTTTCAGTTTTTGCTTTAACTCTAGTTCATTGTTCAAAACTTTGTGCTTTGTCGTATTATTCGTTTTTGTTGCATAAAATATTTATATTTATATTTATTGTATTACGTTTCACACTGCCTTATGAATAGTAGTGAATTCAATTGCATGTTAAATACAGTTATGTGAACAACACGTATTAGAATATATACAAAAATAATCGTGGCATTATATTGCGTTATCGGCGTTATTTTAGTAATATTCATATTTTGGGGAAGTCGTGGCCTAATGGTTAGAGAGTCGGACTCATAACCCAAAGGTTGTGTGTTCGAGTCTCGTACCGGCAGGGATTGTAGGTGGGGGGGAGTGAATGTACAGCGCTCTCTTCCACCTTCAATACCACGACTGAGGTGCCCTTGAGCAAGGCACCGAACCCCCAACTGCTCCCCGGGCGCCGCAGCATAAATGGCTGCCCACTGCTCCGGGTGTGTGTTCATGGTGTGTGTGTGTTCACTGCTGTGTGTGTGCACTTTGGATGGGTAAATGCAGAGCACTAATTCCGAGTATGGGTCACCATACTTGGCCACATGTCACGTCACTCACTCACTCATTTTGAATTAGCTTTTACTTTTATATTTTCAGTTTTCATTTTACTTGTATTTAAATGTTTAATAATTTTGTGTTTTTTTTATTGTTGTTGTTTATATATTTATATTCCCACTATTAATCTTTGTGAGGATTTTGCGAGAGATTTTAATGATAAGATCTCGCAGATTAAACCTCTATTGCCTTATACACCACTTGATGTTCCTCTCTGCTGTTCTACAAGGTCTGTCTTTGAGCCTATTACCTTGGACTCTCTTAATTAGATCGTTGCTTGTTTAAAACCCACTAGCTGCCCTCGGGATGTGATTCCTACACATTTTCTTAAGCAAGTTTTTCAAGCTATTGGCCCTGATTTGTTGTCTGTCATCAACAAGTGTCTTTTTACTGGGACCGTACATGACTGCCTAATGCTGGGTTCACACTGCACGATTTTCAAAGACGTCGCATCACTGTTGGTTTCTCACTGAACGACTATCTGGGGTAGCATTCAGTTGTTGCGGTGTTCAAACTGCACGATGGAATGACGACAGGAGGTTACACACTGCATGACTTCACAATAGGAAGAATCGCCGACAGCTCTGTCTGGTGCAGGGTTGCCAGGTTTTTGCTACAAAACCCGCCCAATTAATACTCAAAACTTGCCTGAAAATAGCCCAATTGCTTTCGAGGGGGTCCCCCAGTAAAAATCACGTTCGGGGTACAATTCACATTCCAGGGCCTACATATTACGTTATTGGGGTCACTTCAACCTGCTGACATGAAAAACAACCGGTGGCGATCGTGGATTTGGCAACACTGCTCCACAAACTACGTTTCATATAACTCCTCCCCGACCTTCCCGCTGCCCTGTATCTTGGTCTCTCATTGGCTGTAGGTCATAGCTGATGTGTTTTTCAGTCAGAACTCATTTCTCACAGCGTGATTGTGAATCGCTGACAGCTCCAGATATTTAGCATGCCAAATATTTCACGGGCGTCATTGACGCATCGGCGATTCCCTCAGATCGCGTCTTTGATAATTCACACTGCGTGATTGTCACTAGGGCTGTGCAATTTGGGGGAAAATATCAAATTGCGATTTTTTTTTGCGATTTTTAAATTGGCAAAGTCAAGCTTCAGCTCAATATTGTCAATAATGTGCAGCACAGTATGGGTATCATTACCCTGCTGAAAAAAACAATAGAAACCATCACAAAAATTCTTATAGTTACTTTTATTGTTTCTCTAGTGCTTAAATGCTTTGTGTCATTATTGTCTGTTTCTTTTAGCCTTGTAAAGCACTTTGGTCAACACCAGTTGTTTTTAAATGTGCTAGACAAATAAACTTGTATTGTATATTGTATTGTATTTAGCTTTAATTTATTTTTATTTCAATTTAGTGTTAGTGATTTTAGTATTCCAATAAATAATAAATAAATAAATAAATCTTGCCTTGGGATCTACCTGAAAAATGTTTTTCCATCTAATATTTATATTTTATTTTATTTTATTTCAGCTTTAACTTTTATATTTTCAGTTTTCATTTTAATTGTAGTTACACGTTTAATAATTCTGTTATGTGTTTTTTGTTGTTGTTTATATGTTTAGATTTAGCTTTTACTCATATTTATTTAAATTTGGCTTTAGTAATTTTTAGTTATATAGTTTAGTAATTTTTAGTAATAAAAATGGACAAATACTAGAAATCTTGCCTTGGCAACTACCAGAAGTTTTTTCCATCTAATATTTATATTTTATTTCAATTAACATTATTTTTAGCAACTTTAGTTAACAATAACAGCGCTGTGCATTATATTACCTAATCATAATACTGATTATTATTCAATAATATTATTTTTCCCTCTGTTAGCTGTCAAGCGGGAACCCTGTATATGAGAACTTTTACAGACAAGTAAGGCCATAATTCTGTTGACAAACCACATTTAACGTTTCTAGACTGTATCATAGTGATCTGTTTTTATAATATATCAATCCTTTTTGGAACAAAAAGGCATGTTTCACTCACTTTTTGTGTGTTTTCTGAAGGTGGACCCGGGAAACACCGGGAGGGTTGGACCTACCGAGGCTGCCTTGTTTTTGAAGAAATCAGGCCTGCCTGACATCACATTAGGAAAGGTTAGTGTTTGGGTAAAACTCTTTGCGAAATGATGCTTGGAAATTCATAATCCACAATTACCTGCTTGTCTCTTTTCAGATCTGGGATTTAGCTGATCCGGATGGCAAAGGTTTCTTGGATAAACAGGTAAAGCTATCAGAGTTTATAAGAGCATCAAATTGGATGCTGACTTGAATCCCTTGTGGTTTGTTTTCAGGGATTTTACGTAGCTCTGCGTCTCGTGGCCTGTGCGCAGAGTGGACACGACATCAGCATTTCCGGTCTACACCTCCCCGTTCCCTCTCCAAAATTCGTAAGTGTCAGTGCTGAGAGCTGATATCATAGTTTTCCAGGCAGCATGAGCTGACAGGATTCTCGTCTCTGTTCTAGAAGGACCACAGTAGCCCATCACTGAGCTCTGTTACATCAACCAATGAGAGCCACTGGGCGGTGCGGGTAAGATGTTTCCACTGTTTATCCCATGAGCTTCTCATTGTAACAGCGCATTACAAAAGATTTTATGAATATTTATCCTTGTTTATTTTTCAGCCTGAAGAGAAGAGCAAATTTGATGGTATTTTTGAAAGTCTTGCCCCAGTGAATGGATTGCTGTCCGGTGAGAAGGTCAGACCAGTTCTAATAAACTCCAAACTTCCTGTGGATGTGCTTGGAAAGGTAAAATGACGATAGATTAAGAGATTAAAATTAAGATAATATTTCTATTAAAATATAATAGTTATAATAATAATAAAAATAGTTTTATTAATAATTAAATGTAATTAAAAATACTATTATATTTATAAAAAATTGCATTATTAAATGACTCTGTCTGAACAGGTGTGGGATTTGAGTGACATAGACAAAGACGGACACTTGGACAAAGATGAGTTTGCAGTGGTGAGTAATTATTTTTTGTAATATAATAAAATCACACTCAAAATATCTTGCTACATACTATGATTTTAGATTACTGCATGCAGTATGCAATTTTTTGTGTTTGTGAAATGCCTACTAAAAGGCATTTTAAAATATGCAGTTTAACTGTGGCATTCTATATCCCACAATGCAATGCGATACTCTTCACCTTCAATTTTCATTGTGAAGAATGAACCAGAAGAAATAACCGCAATTTATAGTGTCTTCATGACTAAATAATTCAAACTAAATCATTTTTCTAAATAAAAAAAATTATAAAATATTATTCATATGAATATTTATACACAAACAAATCTTATAAAATTTAAAAAATATATATATTTTTGCATACTATTTTGTGTGTTTATATTAGATCCCGACTGATATATCGTTTAGTCCAGTGGTTCTCAAACTTTTTACAGCGGCGTACCCCTGGGGCATTTAAAATTCTTCTGCATACCCCCTCTCTTCCACTTAGACCACAGTCACACCTTTTCTATTAAAGGACAATATTTGCCCCCTTAAATTGATTTACAGATGCATTTTTTACCTTTATAGAGGCAAATATTTTCTATTCTTATTAATTGTATGTCATGTTTTATATCATATTCTTAACATTCCATTAAGTGTATTATTAATATAATAAATAAAGCAATAAATGATGGCAAATTGAAGTGATACTTCAAGTCGCTGTCTTAATGAGCCAGGCATCGCGTCATTCATTCAATAACGAAGCAAAATGCTGTAGTTATGAATGGGTTATTAATCACTCTCCAAATCATTCAAAGCATCAGATTCATTCACTAATGAAACACCGCTGTATGTTGCCTGGAGACGCAGATGATATTTCGTTGGAACTCAGAGTCACAGAGTGTGTCTGTATCGAAGAGAGTTTAAATCGATCTCAGTCCGTGTCAATATTTGCTCTTCATGCTATTAAGTGAAGATCTACTTTAAAGATACATTGAACATCAGCGCGATTTGCTAAAGCAGCATATTCAGCAGACCTATCATACGCACGCTGCTTGTGTGGATGTAGTCAGTTTTGACCGCAAAAGATGAGGTAAGCTGGTTGTATTTCGTTGCAAAATAGAACAAACATGACATTATTCTGTTTAAAATGTAGGCTACATTTAAAATGTAAAATGTTCACTTAATATGACCTTTTTTGTTGAACTGTTGTAAAAATTAATGCCACATTTGCCATCGATTTGCTAAAGCAGCATACTCAGCAGGCATCCTATCATACGCATGCTGCTTGTGTGGATGCAGTCAGTTTTGACCGCAAAAGATGAGGTAAGCTGGTTGGATATCATGTATTTGACAGTTTATGGCACTCCCATTTTCCTGATTTTACATTAAAAGCGGCATTTCGCTTGTCAGAAATACATGTTCGGTTTTAATGTTACTTTAAGTTGGGGTAGAATTAAATGAATGCCAAAACTCTGAAATTTGTTCGCGTACCCCCCTCCGTCATCTCACGTACCCCAGTTTGAGAACCACTGGTTTAGTCGATATTATCGGCCGATATGAGCCTGTCGCCGAGATATCGTATCGGCAAATATGCCGGCGATATGAAATTTTTTTTTACAGAACATATAACACAAATAAAATGCTTGAAATGGTGTAATTACTTAGTTTGTCCAGCAGAGCGTGCTCCATTGTTTGCTTCTGGCGACCTGGATGAAACGCTTTAAAGTCTATGGAAAACCATTGAAACTTTGAATGGCCATATCTCCGTAAAGGCGCGGCGAATTCGCACCAAATTCTGGGGATCCCTTCAGCTCGAGAAACCCTCTCGAACGTGAATCATGTGTACGTCTCGAGGCCCCCTTTCGAATGAGACCACCCCCGCGTCGATAGCCCCTGGGGTTCGGGAGTTACGGGTGGTTAAATTTGCGGTCCAGCGCAGACCGATCTAGCGATCCCGGGGGGCTACCGACGCGCGGAGGGTGGCGTTCAAGAGAACTCTTCGAGCTGAAGGGATCCCCCGAATTTGGTATCGGCCCCAAAAACCCACATTGGCCGGGCTCTATACAGTATATATATATGTTATTTTTAATCATTTCTATATTTTTATTTTTAATAATAATTAACGCACACACAAAATCATATTTAGTTAAAAAAAAACACACACATATATATATATATATATATAAACAATATTATAAAATATATTATAAATATATAACTATTATAATATAAATACATTTAATAAAATAAAATAAATAAATATAAAATAAATATTATATTTATATTTACACACAGTGTGTATATATAAACAATATTATATTATACATTTGTAAATATAAATATTATAATATAAATATAAATAAATTTAAATAAATCCATTTTAAAAACACACACACATATATATATATATATATATATATTATACATGTTATTTTTAATAATAAGTAACGCACACACAAAATCATATTTAGTTTAAAAAAACATAGATATACAATGGTGTGAAAAAGTGTTGGCCCCTTTCCTGATTTCTTATTTTTTTGCATGTTTGTCACACTTTAATGTTTCAGATTCCGTACCCACTGTATATATATATATATATATACACACACACAATATTATAAAATATATATATATATTATAAATTTGTAAATATAAATATTATAATATAAATATAAATAAATGTAATAAAATAAAATAAATAATTAATAATAATAATAATAAAATAATAAATAATTAATATATTATATAAGCTTAAAAACATCTTAATTTCTTCTTTTGTCCAGGCTATGCATCTGGTGTACCGCGCTCTGGAGAAGGAGCCTGTGCCCTCAGTCCTGCCCTCCTCTCTCATCCCTCCATCCAAAAGGAAGAAGTCATCAGGGTCCTTGTCCAGTATGGTGCCAGTGTTACCAGGCAGCCCGCCACCACCTAAAGACAGCCTGCGCTCGACCCCCTCTCACGGCAGCATGAATTCCCTGAACAGCGCCGGGAGTTTGTCCCCAAAACACACCATTAAATCCTCACAGGTACACTTTTATTGGTGCATCTTCATGTTCATGTTGTACAGAAGATTTGAAGAGGATCTGATGTTTTTAACTATCTTCAGCATTCAGTAAACTGGGTGGTACCAGTCATAGACAGAGGGCGCTATGACGACATCTTCCTCAAAACAGACACTGATCTTGACGGCTTCGTCAGCGGCCAAGAAGTTAAAGAAATCTTCATGCAGTCCAGCCTTCCTCAGAACCTCCTGGCATATATTTGGTAGCTGCTTCTGTTCATCACTTTTGTTTTTCTTCACTCTTCCTGTTGTGATTGGCACACTCATCACTTCCTCTGCTGTCTTTGTCAGGGCTTTGGCGGACACCAGGCAAATGGGCAAACTTACGCGCGAGCAGTTCTCCTTAGCCATGCATCTCATTCAGCTGAAAGTCAGCAAAGGCATGGATCCTCCGCAAGCTCTGACTCCAGACATGATCCCACCGTCTGAACGTGGCACACCGGGACCTGTAAGTCACGTCAGCACGTTTATCATCGCACGCTTAAATTCATCCTGGGGTTCTGCAGCTAACTGAAAGGCTTGTAGGATTGAACCCCAGAGGAAGTCCAGTCCCGGAGAAGATTCATGTGTGTGTATATATATATATATATATATATATATATATATATATAAATAAAAACATTTAAGAAAAAGGTATTTTATTTTACCTAGTTGCCGTGGCAATATTTCTTATTTTTTATTTAGTTTAACGTGAAATTACAATGAATATAAACTATATAGACATAAAAAAAACTAACAAAATGGCAAGAACATTTAAATAAAGCAGTAATAAATATAAATGATAGATTATATTATATATTATATATTAGATTAAAAAAAAAACTTCAACTATAATTAAAAATTTTGCCTTTGGTTAGGTTAAATTCAAAAAAT